TTTAAAGCGCCCTTCTTTCTCCGCGCTGGCTTTCTCCGTGCTGTTGTCGCCCTGTTGATGACATCAGCGACGTAGTTTAATCGGGCTCGGTTTAGTGAAGCGCGGTTTTGACGGGTCACGGTCTCTGCCCCCCACCACCACCACCACCAATGCTTTCCCTCTCCAACTGGAAGGAGAGGTATTCTCTATGCAAATATCAACTCGACAGTAGGAGTCTGTTTCCCTCTCCCCTTTTGATTCTCCTCAATTCCAATCCTCTTAGCCTGCATCACCATCTCTTCATTCACGCTCCCCCCGTTTACCCTGATAGCACAATCCCATGTCCCCCAAGAACCCTCGCAACCTCCCTGCTCCTCTTCAGTCACTTCCCTAAGCCAAATGCAGTCCCCACGGAGCTGCCTTGCCTGCCCGGAGCTACACAGCATGGCACACTTGGCAAGGTTTCATGGCAGATTTTATTTGGCCCTCAATATCACACCTGGCCCGTAAAACTCCTCTCCCAGGTGCATAAGAGCTGGCCCAGTTCTTAGGCATCAGGTTTGCTCCAAGCAAGTCTGCAATGCAGTGTTACTGCGTAGAGGTTGAAAAGGAGCGGTGCAGAAGTCCTAAATTTTGGGGAAGGGAATTTGGAGGCAAACATGTGGGTGGGGAAAGCGTTTCATTTGCAAAGTTCGTTTTCCTTCCAAATCCAGAGCTAAGGAGCTCTTCCTTATAAGGGAGCAAAGCAATTGGGAAGACAGGAGGGAACCTCCAGGGTTGGAGCTCCTACCTTACAGGGAGGAACTGTGTATGTGTATGAATGTTCTCCCCTCTCCGATGTAATGCATGAGTGCTCGATGAAAGAGGCTGGCTCTGCTGTCTGTACTGTGAATAAAGACATATACCCTATCTTCCATCCCAAGGAGCTAGGAAGCTGCCACGTAATCTGCCTGCGAAGTTATTTCTCTTGGACCGTCAAAACTGTCTCTTTGACTTACGCAGGCAGAGAAGCATTGTCATGTTAATAAACCAACCTGTACAGCGTGTTTGGCTTTTACCTTCTCTGATTACGGATTATTTGGGTTGGGAAGGGGAAATGCCTGAT